GCTTCCCTCAAGGTGCGTCGCTCCCTGTGCTTCCCTCAAGGTGCGTCGCTCCCTGTGCTTCCCTCAAGGTGCGTCGCTCCCTGTGCTTCCCTCAAGGTGCGTCGCTCCCTGTGCTTCCCTCAAGGTGCGTCGCTCCCTGTGCTTCCCTCAAGGTGCGTCGCTCCCTGTGCTTCCCTCAAGGTGCGTCGCTCCCTGTGCTTCCCTCAAGGTGCGTCGCTCCCTGTGCTTCCCTCAAGGTGCGTCGCTCCCTGTGCTTCCCTCAAGGTGCGTCGCTCCCTGTGCTTCCCTCAAGGTGCGTCGCTCCCTGTGCTTCCCTCAAGGTGCGTCGCTCCCTGTGCTTCCCTCAAGGTGCGTCGCTCCCTGTGCTTCCCTCAAGGTGCGTCGCTCCCTGTGCTTCCCTCAAGGTGCGTCGCTCCCTGTGCTTCCCTCAAGGTGCGTCGCTCCCTGTGCTTCCCTCAAGGTGCGTCGCTCCCTGTGCTTCCCTCAAGGTGCGTCGCTCCCTGTGCTTCCCTCAAGGTGCGTCGCTCCCTGTGCTTCCCTCAAGGTGCGTCGCTCCCTGTGCTTCCCTCAAGGTGCGTCGCTCCCTGTGCTTCCCTCAAGGTGCGTCGCTCCCTGTGCTTCCCTCAAGGTGCGTCGCTCCCTGTGCTTCCCTCAAGGTGCGTCGCTCCCTGTGCTTCCCTCAAGGTGCGTCGCTCCCTGTGCTTCCCTCAAGGTGCGTCGCTCCCTGTGCTTCCCTCAAGGTGCGTCGCTCCCTGTGCTTCCCTCAAGGTGCGTCGCTCCCTGTGCTTCCCTCAAGGTGCGTCGCTCCCTGTGCTTCCCTCAAGGTGCGTCGCTCCCTGTGCTTCCCTCAAGGTGCGTCGCTCCCTGTGCTTCCCTCAAGGTGCGTCGCTCCCTGTGCTTCCCTCAAGGTGCGTCGCTCCCTGTGCTTCCCTCAAGGTGCGTCGCTCCCTGTGCTTCCCTCAAGGTGCGTCGCTCCCTGTGCTTCCCTCAAGGTGCGTCGCTCCCTGTGCTTCCCTCAAGGTGCGTCGCTCCCTGTGCTTCCCTCAAGGTGCGTCGCTCCCTGTGCTTCCCTCAAGGTGCGTCGCTCCCTGTGCTTCCCTCAAGGTGCGTCGCTCCCTGTGCTTCCCTCAAGGTGCGTCGCTCCCTGTGCTTCCCTCAAGGTGCGTCGCTCCCTGTGCTTCCCTCAAGGTGCGTCGCTCCCTGTGCTTCCCTCAAGGTGCGTCGCTCCCTGTGCTTCCCTCAAGGTGCGTCGCTCCCTGTGCTTCCCTCAAGGTGCGTCGCTCCCTGTGCTTCCCTCAAGGTGCGTCGCTCCCTGTGCTTCCCTCAAGGTGCGTCGCTCCCTGTGCTTCCCTCAAGGTGCGTCGCTCCCTGTGCTTCCCTCAAGGTGCGTCGCTCCCTGTGCTTCCCTCAAGGTGCGTCGCTCCCTGTGCTTCCCTCAAGGTGCGTCGCTCCCTGTGCTTCCCTCAAGGTGCGTCGCTCCCTGTGCTTCCCTCAAGGTGCGTCGCTCCCTGTGCTTCCCTCAAGGTGCGTCGCTCCCTGTGCTTCCCTCAAGGTGCGTCGCTCCCTGTGCTTCCCTCAAGGTGCGTCGCTCCCTGTGCTTCCCTCAAGGTGCGTCGCTCCCTGTGCTTCCCTCAAGGTGCGTCGCTCCCTGTGCTTCCCTCAAGGTGCGTCGCTCCCTGTGCTTCCCTCAAGGTGCGTCGCTCCCTGTGCTTCCCTCAAGGTGCGTCGCTCCCTGTGCTTCCCTCAAGGTGCGTCGCTCCCTGTGCTTCCCTCAAGGTGCGTCGCTCCCTGTGCTTCCCTCAAGGTGCGTCGCTCCCTGTGCTTCCCTCAAGGTGCGTCGCTCCCTGTGCTTCCCTCAAGGTGCGTCGCTCCCTGTGCTTCCCTCAAGGTGCGTCGCTCCCTGTGCTTCCCTCAAGGTGCGTCGCTCCCTGTGCTTCCCTCAAGGTGCGTCGCTCCCTGTGCTTCCCTCAAGGTGCGTCGCTCCCTGTGCTTCCCTCAAGGTGCGTCGCTCCCTGTGCTTCCCTCAAGGTGCGTCGCTCCCTGTGCTTCCCTCAAGGTGCGTCGCTCCCTGTGCTTCCCTCAAGGTGCGTCGCTCCCTGTGCTTCCCTCAAGGTGCGTCGCTCCCTGTGCTTCCCTCAAGGTGCGTCGCTCCCTGTGCTTCCCTCAAGGTGCGTCGCTCCCTGTGCTTCCCTCAAGGTGCGTCGCTCCCTGTGCTTCCCTCAAGGTGCGTCGCTCCCTGTGCTTCCCTCAAGGTGCGTCGCTCCCTGTGCTTCCCTCAAGGTGCGTCGCTCCCTGTGCTTCCCTCAAGGTGCGTCGCTCCCTGTGCTTCCCTCAAGGTGCGTCGCTCCCTGTGCTTCCCTCAAGGTGCGTCGCTCCCTGTGCTTCCCTCAAGGTGCGTCGCTCCCTGTGCTTCCCTCAAGGTGCGTCGCTCCCTGTGCTTCCCTCAAGGTGCGTCGCTCCCTGTGCTTCCCTCAAGGTGCGTCGCTCCCTGTGCTTCCCTCAAGGTGCGTCGCTCCCTGTGCTTCCCTCAAGGTGCGTCGCTCCCTGTGCTTCCCTCAAGGTGCGTCGCTCCCTGTGCTTCCCTCAAGGTGCGTCGCTCCCTGTGCTTCCCTCAAGGTGCGTCGCTCCCTGTGCTTCCCTCAAGGTGCGTCGCTCCCTGTGCTTCCCTCAAGGTGCGTCGCTCCCTGTGTCGCTCCCTGTGCTTCCCTCAAGGTGCGTCGCTCCCTGGGCTTCCCTCAAGGTGCGTCGCTCCCTGTGCTTCCCTCAAGGTGCGTCGCTCCCTGTGCTTCCCTCAAGGTGCGTCGCTCCCTGTGCTTCCCTCAAGGTGCGTCGCTCCCTGTGCTTCCCTCAAGGTGCGTCGCTCCCTGTGCTTCCCTCAAGGTGCGTCGCTCCCTGTGCTTCCCTCAAGGTGCGTCGCTCCCTGTGCTTCCCTCAAGGTGCGTCGCTCCCTGTGCTTCCCTCAAGGTGCGTCGCTCCCTGTGCTTCCCTCAAGGTGCGTCGCTCCCTGTGCTTCCCTCAAGGTGCGTCGCTCCCTGTGCTTCCCTCAAGGTGCGTCGCTCCCTGTGCTTCCCTCAAGGTGCGTCGCTCCCTGTGCTTCCCTCAAGGTGCGTCGCTCCCTGTGCTTCCCTCAAGGTGCGTCGCTCCCTGTGCTTCCCTCAAGGTGCGTCGCTCCCTGTGCTTCCCTCAAGGTGCGTCGCTCCCTGTGCTTCCCTCAAGGTGCGTCGCTCCCTGTGCTTCCCTCAAGGTGCGTCGCTCCCTGTGCTTCCCTCAAGGTGCGTCGCTCCCTGTGCTTCCCTCAAGGTGCGTCGCTCCCTGTGCTTCCCTCAAGGTGCGTCGCTCCCTGTGCTTCCCTCAAGGTGCGTCGCTCCCTGTGCTTCCCTCAAGGTGCGTCGCTCCCTGTGCTTCCCTCAAGGTGCGTCGCTCCCTGTGCTTCCCTCAAGGTGCGTCGCTCCCTGTGCTTCCCTCAAGGTGCGTCGCTCCCTGTGCTTCCCTCAAGGTGCGTCGCTCCCTGTGCTTCCCTCAAGGTGCGTCGCTCCCTGTGCTTCCCTCAAGGTGCGTCGCTCCCTGTGCTTCCCTCAAGGTGCGTCGCTCCCTGTGCTTCCCTCAAGGTGCGTCGCTCCCTGTGCTTCCCTCAAGGTGCGTCGCTCCCTGTGCTTCCCTCAAGGTGCGTCGCTCCCTGTGCTTCCCTTCCCTCAAGGTGCGTCGCTCCCTGTGCTTCCCTCAAGGTGCGTCGCTCCCTGTGCTTCCCTCAAGGTGCGTCGCTCCCTGTGCTTCCCTCAAGGTGCGTCGCTCCCTGTGCTTCCCTCAAGGTGCGTCGCTCCCTGTGCTTCCCTCAAGGTGCGTCGCTCCCTGTGCTTCCCTCAAGGTGCGTCGCTCCCTGTGCTTCCCTCAAGGTGCGTCGCTCCCTGTGCTTCCCTCAAGGTGCGTCGCTCCCTGTGCTTCCCTCAAGGTGCGTCGCTCCCTGTGCTTCCCTCAAGGTGCGTCGCTCCCTGTGCTTCCCTCAAGGTGCGTCGCTCCCTGTGCTTCCCTCAAGGTGCGTCGCTCCCTGTGCTTCCCTCAAGGTGCGTCGCTCCCTGTGCTTCCCTCAAGGTGCGTCGCTCCCTGTGCTTCCCTCAAGGTGCGTCGCTCCCTGTGCTTCCCTCAAGGTGCGTCGCTCCCTGTGCTTCCCTCAAGGTGCGTCGCTCCCTGTGCTTCCCTCAAGGTGCGTCGCTCCCTGTGCTTCCCTCAAGGTGCGTCGCTCCCTGTGCTTCCCTCAAGGTGCGTCGCTCCCTGTGCTTCCCTCAAGGTGCGTCGCTCCCTGTGCTTCCCTCAAGGTGCGTCGCTCCCTGTGCTTCCCTCAAGGTGCGTCGCTCCCTGTGCTTCCCTCAAGGTGCGTCGCTCCCTGTGCTTCCCTCAAGGTGCGTCGCTCCCTGTGCTTCCCTCAAGGTGCGTCGCTCCCTGTGCTTCCCTCAAGGTGCGTCGCTCCCTGTGCTTCCCTCAAGGTGCGTCGCTCCCTGTGCTTCCCTCAAGGTGCGTCGCTCCCTGTGCTTCCCTCAAGGTGCGTCGCTCCCTGTGCTTCCCTCAAGGTGCGTCGCTCCCTGTGCTTCCCTCAAGGTGCGTCGCTCCCTGTGCTTCCCTCAAGGTGCGTCGCTCCCTGTGCTTCCCTCAAGGTGCGTCGCTCCCTGTGCTTCCCTCAAGGTGCGTCGCTCCCTGTGCTTCCCTCAAGGTGCGTCGCTCCCTGTGCTTCCCTCAAGGTGCGTCGCTCCCTGTGCTTCCCTCAAGGTGCGTCGCTCCCTGTGCTTCCCTCAAGGTGCGTCGCTCCCTGTGCTTCCCTCAAGGTGCGTCGCTCCCTGTGCTTCCCTCAAGGTGCGTCGATCTCTGTGCTTTCCTGTGCGAAGGCACTTCCCCTTCTTTTTGGATGAAGCCCCTTCCTCCAATGCGTCCTTCTGCCACACCATGCCACACCATGCCACACCATGCCACACCATGCCACGCCATGCCACACCGTGCCATGCTCGCAGGGTTCTTGGAGCTGGGGGAGTCGTCGAGGGAGGGTGCGGAGAGGGAGGTGCGTGAGGAGGCGTGCGCAGAGGTGCGAGTGAGAAGCCTGCTGGCCGTCTACAACATTCCCAACCAGGTCAGCCTGCTGGCCGTCTACAACATTCCCACCATCACGCCCTCCCCACTGTCACGCCCTCCCCACTGTCACGCTCTCCCCACTGTCACGCCCTCCCCACTGTCACGCCCTCCCCACTGTCACGCCCTCCCCATCTTCCCATTCGTGCTTTGTATATTTCTGTTTTGCCTCACGTGTGCGATTCACCGGAAGTCCACGCTCAATCGTACGAGTCCACGCTACATGACTGCCAGGAACGTAATGTGCCAATTCAGTCCCACTCCCAACCTCCTATCCTCCCCCCTGCCCATCCACCCCCCGGCCCATGCACCACCCACCAGGTGCAGATCATCTACCTCGCTGACCTACTGTCGCCACACTGCGCTGCTGGTAGGCCCGCCTGCTGCTCTGCCAACCCAGTCACCGTGCCTTTTCTCCCACCACTACCCGTCTTATGCCTTTCACCCTCTCGTTCTCACCCTCCTGTCACATGCATCCCTCTGCCAACGTCACATGTCACATCTGTCGTGTCAAATGTGTTTCCTGTAGTTGAGTCACAAATACTCCTGCTGCTTACTCTCGTCTCATTCCCAGCCTTTTCATACATCTGTCGCCATGTGCCCTGTGTCTCTTATCCGATTGCTTGTGTCTCCTATCCGATTGCTTGTGTCTCCTATCCGATTGCTTGTGTCTCCTATCCGATTGCTTGTGTGCTCACGCCACCATACCCCACTTCTGAACCACCTGTCACGGCGCTGTCACCGGCAGGCTCAGAGACGCTAGAAGCGGGTCTCTTTGGGTGGGACGACATTCCCTTCCATGACCTCGCCTTCCCCACTGTATGCTCCTCGCCTTCCCCACTGTATGCTCCTCGCCTTCCCCACTGTATGCTCCTCGCCTTCCCCACTGTATGCTCCTCGCCTTCCCCACTGTATGCTCCTCGCCTTCCCCACTGTATGCTCCTCGCCTTCCCCACTGTATGCTCCTCGCCTTCCCCACTGTATGCTCCTCGCCTTCCCCACTGTATGCTCCTCGCCTTCCCCACTGTATGCTCCTCGCCTTCCCCACTGTATGCTCCTCGCCTTCCCCACTGTATGCTCCTCGCCTTCCCCACTGTATGCTCTTTGGGTGGGACGACATTCCCTTCCACCACCTCGCCTTCCCCACTGTATGCTCCTTGCACGCACGCACCACGCACTCACACACCCACGGACACACGCACACGCGCACGCACCCACGCACCCACCCACGCACGCACGCACTCACGCACACACGCACGCACGCATCCACACCACACATACCCTCATTGGGAGCACTCTGGCATGAGCGTATGGCCGGCTTTCTCCAGTCCAAACTCGTCTCTCTTTCGCATGCCTGTCCTGTGTGACTCCAACACCACCACCGAGCCCCTTCAGGTGGCATGGGCGTTGGAGCACGCACGGCAGCAGCTGCAGCACCCACAGACGCTCATTCAGCCGCAGCTGAGGACCAAAGTGGTCGGCACCACTGGCATGTTCAGCGGCTCCTATGTGGATGCATAACCAGGGTTCTTGCTAGGGTTTAGGCTCGGAAAGCTGCGCTAACAGGATCCTGTTGGGTCGCAGTGAAGACTCTTGTAGAGGGAGTTGCTCATGAGATATGTCAACCAGCCTCCCTCATCGAGAAAATTCTGCGTGGTAATGGAAATGTGTTGCAAAGCTCCAAGTTACATGTTCCATTTTAGCTGTAAATTACAGCAATTTCTGCCTTCGGGACACGATTTTTGAAATGCGAAGAGTTAGGTAGAGCCATTTTATTCCATCGTACGTTAATAAGAAACAATCGGTTCAGGAACGTCAGGAAGAAAGGACGAGGGAGGTAACGGCAGGACAACACGCTGTGGAACAGAGGAAGGACGAAGTGTCATGGTGTGGACGCCGTCGACAGGTGGAGGGCGAACACGGCGAGCACGAGGAGTGCGAGCAACAATTGAGGCAGGAGAAGACGCAGGCTTATGACACTAAGTTAGGGAGTTCGTCGACGAAGGGTAACGAGAAGGAACAGGCAGTGGGGAGTCAGGCGGTAACTGGGTCTGAGACGGGTCAGGCGGCGGAAGCAGTGGCGGACGGCTCTGCAGAGGCAGGCGGAAGACGTGGAACCTGGTGAAGTGCTTGAGCCAGGTTGGGGGGGCGACGACTACGGCTGCTCCTAGAAGTACGGTCGTCGTGGCAATGGCTGCGCTGCACCCCCAGAACTAGCTCCAGGAACACCTACAGCTCCAGCACGACCAACACCCTCGGTGGCCGCACCTCCAACTCCAAAAAACTCCAGCTCCAGAAACTCCAGAGTCACCAAAACCTCCAGCACCTCCAGCTTCAGCAACGCCAGCAGCAAAACCTCCAACACATCCAGCTCCAGCAGCTCTAGCAGCAGAACTTCCAGCTCCAGTACCTCCAGCACCGGAACCTCCAGCACCTCCAGCTCCAGAACCTGCAGCACCTCCAGCTGTCAAACTATATTTTATATAGTTTATCTAGTTGTAGTCTAGGTGTTCCTGTTTTCGCTAGTTTAGGTTTATATTCCCTTGTACTTTCACATTTCTAGTCTTTCTCTTATCTTAACATGGTATAGAGCGATGTTTACCCTAGCTAGGGTTTCCCCTAGCGACTTTCACTCGATAGACTAAGGGCCCACCGAAATCGCTAGCGAGCGCCCCGTCCTAAATCGCGCCTCGTAGCTCATCGCCCATCGCCCGTAGCGCGCCTGTCGTCAGTAGCCACCCCGTCGCCCGCGGTTTTTCCCCTCCCGTCGCCCGTCATTTTTCCTCGCCCGTTGCCTGTCGGTTTTTCCTCGACCGTCGCCCGTCCGTTTCCCGCGCGCCCCACACCCGTCTCTCGTCGAACGACCGTAGGACGCGGGCCCCGCGGCCCCCTTTTCGTTAGCCGGCCCCGCGGCCTGACGGTAGCGAGCCACGCGGCCACTTTTTCGTTAGACGGCCCCGTGTCCCGCGCTAGCTGGCCCCGTGGCCCCCACGCGTTCTGCCCCCCCCCCCCAACCCCCCCCCCCCTCATTTCCGCCTGTACATTGTCTGCCGCGGCTCCCTACCGCCTCTCTCTAGCTCAGCAAACCCTAACAGCCGCCACAACCGCTCTCCACCCCTTTCAACCTCACTCATTCACTCCAAAACCGTTGAACCGCTTTCAACAGCACCAGATCCGCCTCTCACCCGCACTAGACCACTTCCAGCCGCCAGAAACCGCCCTTCACCGCACTAGTCCACTCCCAACCGCGAGAAACCGTCCTTCACCGCACTAGACCACTCTCAACCTATCCCTACCGCCCTTCACAGCACTAAACCGCACTAGAACCGCACTCAACCGCACCAAGCTGCTCTTAACCGCCCTCGTCCGTCCCTAGCCTCACCCGACCGCATAGAGGGCCTCTCTCTCGCCCTAGGCGCCTCCCACTACTATGGCGACTGTTCTGGAGTTCGACCCTGAGGGGCGCCCTGTCGGTTTTCCGGCATGGCTGCTGAAGCTCAAGCTCTACCTCGGCAGCCATCTCGAGAATGATATCCCTCTTTCCGAGCATGCCGCTGGTGAGCTGAAATCCCCCCCCCACTCTCCCTCCACTAGGTGACGATGCGTCAGCAGATGACCAGGCTTTCTATGCCCAGCGTCGCACTGAGCTTAGGCGATGGGCTGCGCGTGACAATGCAACCATCCTTGCTATCACCGCCATGCTGCCGCCGACCGAGCAGGAACACTTTGCGCAGGAGGAGACGCCCTCCGCACTGATGAAAGCTGTGATCACACGCTATTCCACCCAGGTCACTGTGACTCTAGGACGCCACATCCTCCCCTTTCTCTTTCCTGATCTCCCGTCGTTCGCTAGGGTGGCTGACCTGATTTAGGGTGGAGGTGGTGGTCCTGGCTCGGGGAGTGTGGAGCCCCAGCACCAGCTACAGCAGCAGCCACAGCAGCAGCCTACATCAGCAGCAGTAGCAGCAGCAGCAGCAGCAGCCCCAGCAGCAGCAGCAGCAGCAGCAGCCACGGCAGCAGCTGCTCCAGGGCCAGCAGCAGCAGGTTCAGCAGTGGCCCCCGCAACAGCAGTGGAGGTCGGCCGGACCAGGGAGCACTGCACGTACCAGTGGCCCATCCAGCTGGTCGTCGCATGGTCTAGCCTTGACTCCCTACCAGTTCTAGGTTCAGACTGGGTCACGTCGAGACGGCCCCTGTGGCCGCCTCTACCCTCCGGGTCAGTGCTTTGCGCAGCTTACGGACCGCTACCGCCCACACTTCGGCCTTGGTCGCACCCCCCCTGACTGGCGCTCGCTGGCTCACACCGTTGGTCCGTAGTTGTTTGACATGTTTGCAGTAGACTTAGACCATGCTTTGCGATCTGCCTCTGTGATGTATGCTGATGACTAGTCTTGAGCATTCTGGTTATTACTCTTGTTTGTCTAGCTTAGGTGCTGTAGAGGTTGCTAGTGCTTTCCCTGCTAGCGTAGCTTGCACAGGTTCGACCACCGGGGTTGCGTCTCTGTTGTTCACGCTCGACTCTAGGGCGTCCAGCTATTTCTTTCGCGACTGCACAGACCTCACACCACTACGCACTCCTGTCTCTGTCGCCCTAGCTGACTCCACAGCGGGACCAGTGGTTGCTCACAGCACCACCACCCTCCCGTGTCTAGCGGCTCCCTCTGGGTTCCTCACAAGTTACTACACCCCCTCGTTCTCCAAGAACTTGGTGGGTGTCAGTCACCTCCACGACTTCGGAGTAGTCACCACTTTCCCTCTGGTCGAGCCTGTTGCCTTCTGTACAGTCGGTGTCACTGGGGCGCCTCTAGCCACTTTCCATAGGGAGCCAGGCTCTGGTCTGTACTCATTACACACTGGGTCCCACCACACTGGCTCAGGCCAGGTCAGGTCAGGTCAGGTAGCTGCTGTGTCGTGCGACTGTCGGTCCCTCACCCACCCGTTGGTCCTCGGGCACCACCGTCTAGGTCACCCGTCCTTCCCGCGTCTCAGTAGGATGGTACGTCACCGTCTGGTCTCAGGTCTCCGAGAGTCGCTCGCCCCGCTTCCCCGCTCGCCTGCGCCGCCGCGCACTCCTTGCGTCGAGGGTCGGCAGCGCGCTGCCCCTCACTCCTCCTCGTTCCCCCCCACCACAGCTCCCTTACAGACCGTGCACCTGGACGTCTGTGGCCCCTCCCCGGTCCTTGGCCCATGTCAGGAGCGCTACTTCCTGATTGTGGTGGACGACTACTCCCGCTACACCACGGTTTTTCCCTTGCGACGGAAGGCCAACGTGCCTACCGTCCTTGAGCCGTGGCTACTAGCGAGGGGTGGAGCCCAGGGCCTCTGTGGGCTCCGCCTACACTCGGACCGTGATGGTGATTTTTCTTCCACTCGCCTCGAGACGTTCTGTCAGGGTCGGGGGATCATCCAGTCTTACACGCTACCAGCGCAGCCGAACGGGGTAGCCGAGCGACGCATCGGACTGGTCATGGAGGTTGCCCGGACCTCCATGTGCCATGCTGGTGCCCCCTAGTTCCTCTGGCCTCAGGTAGTCCGCTACGCCGCACACCAGCTGAGCATGTGGCCCAGTGACACACGACTGGGGGTGACGCCGGTCTCCCTTTGGACAGGTTCTCCGGGCGTAGCAGCTGACTTCCGAGTCTGGGGTTCTCTGGCTCAAGTTCGCGCCCCTAGCACGAACAAGTTGTCTGCGTGCACTCGTGCATGCGTCTTTCTTGGCTTCCCTTTGGACGCCTCCGGCTGGGTGTTCTACGACCCGGTCACCCACCAGTTCTTCGCTTCTTAGGACGTCACTTTCGACGAGTCTGTCTGTTACTACAGGAGTCGACCCCACCGAGGTACTGGGGTCTTTCCCCCCCCGCTGTTCCTCACCCTTCTGCGGCGTGTGAGGAACAGGGGGGGGGGGAAGACCCCAGTACCTGGTGAGGAACAGGGGGGGGGGGAAGACCCCAGTACCTGTTACGCCGGTCTCCCTCTGTCTTTGGGCTCCTGTCTATCAGCCCCCCCCAGTCTGCCCGATAGCCCCCCCCCCCCCTTCGCGTCCTGCCCCGTCAGGTGTGTCGCACGTCACTTCGCAGTCGTCCCCCCCGCAGCGTCCAGTCCCTGTCGTGTCTGGGGGTGAGGGAGGTGTAGTTGCGGAGGGTGAGGGTACTGGGTGTCAGAATCCCAACCACTAGACCATTGGGATAAAAGGGCTTGTTTAATAGCGGGTCAGTGCGCCCATACCTCCCCAGGCCAGCGAGCCTATAACCCTTCCCTAGGATCAATCGGGCATCCCCAGTGTTGGTTTTCAGACACTGGGGCTGCTGGAGCTGGTGGTGTCGGCTCTGGGGGTGCAGGGGGTGTGGGCGTGGAGGCCACTCCCATGGAGGACACGGCAGCCTCGACTCGGCGGCCTCGCCCCGCGTCACCCCTTGGCTTCCCGTCCGTCCCGCAGTTCCCTCCTCGTTCTTCTCTGCGGCCGGTTGCTGCGGAGCCTGGGGGTGTTCCTGCGGGAGGTACTGGAGGCGCTGAGGGTGTCG